CAAATTTCTTCTAATTGTCTTGATAGAAACTTCAATATTGGTTTTTTCAATAAATTTGTTTCTAATTTGTTCTGCAGCTTTCTTGTTATTTTTTTAACAATTTTTTTAAAATGGTTTTATCTTTAAAAGTCAATAGTTTTGGACATCCAGTTTTAGGAAGAGTAGTAAGATTGTTTTACATCTGTCTAGGTGAGCAGCGACGTAGGAACATCTAAAAGACTCATTCTACCGGTCGGGCATCCTGTTTCTGCACAGAATGTTGTTCCCGACTGTTGTTTACATTATTGACTGCCCTTCATAGAAGCAGAAATCTTCGCCCGCGTTTCTTCAGAGAGCTTCTGCCCGGCCCCTGTGTCAGACCAAGGACTCGCGGCAGAGTGTGTCCCTATGGGGAGATCCGGCCACCCCGGGCTCTGTGGCGAATAATTTTTAATTGTATAAGAAACAGTTGTTCTATGAATTTTAAGAAGTTTTGAAATTTTTGATAAGGATTGTTTATCTTTATAGAGATCTATAATTTCACCACATTGACTTTCAGTTAAATGATATATTTTTGAAATTAAAAATACTGGAAGGGTAAATGTATATATATTTAATTTAATGTTTACTTATTGAAAAAACATGAAAATTATATATGTGTTTTTTTAAAATATAAACAATAACATATTAAAATTTTAAATAAAGTTATTATGTACATTTTTATATAATAAATTTAAGATATGCGATACTTTTGTCCATGTAGTGTATATTAAAAATACATTTTCTAAGTTACATAAAAACCTTAGGTTCATTATAAAATGTGATAATAACAAACAAGTGAATAATCAATATGCTCTTTTACTATTTTCTATGTTGATAATACCAAAGAAAAGAAAAAGAGTTCAGTATTTAAAAATTTAAAAAAATTAAAAAAATATACTATATATAAAATCATAGAAAATGTAAGAGTTTAAATATATTGTAACAGTTTAAACAATGAGTTATATTCAAGTTAAAATAAAATCACAAGTTTTAGAAGAGATAATTATTTTATTAACTCAAAAACAAAAATATAATTTGAATTGTTATAAAGATAAAAATGTCTCTTTTAAATAACTATTCTCCATTATATAAATAATCTATAAAAATATATAAATAGAAATACATATTATTAATATATAAGTCTTTATTAGTTTTTTTGGAAGGTCATATATATTATAAATATAAAATAAAAAAATAATAATATAATAAATATTATATGCACTTAATAATAATGTTATGTTTCTTAAATAAGTATAAAGATAATAAACATAATAATTAATAATAAATAATTAATAATATTTTAGAAGGTTTCATAATATTCTTGAAGGTTACAAAATGTTTTATAAAGTTCTAGAAAGTTCTGAATATTCTATAATATTCTGGAGGTATTTAAAAATATTCCAGGGATTTTTGATTACATGAAATATAATACAGTTAAAGTGGAAAATTGTCCCAGAGAATTATAAACAGAATATTATCAACAAAGAAGCTAGCACCTTCTTTTAATAATATTATCAGATCTGCCTGGCTACCTACTATTCTTTTACCTATAGTGAAGATACTACTTGATAATATTTGTTAGAATGGAAGACTTCCTTGAAACTTAGCTTGACTTTGAAAGAATTGTACCTTTTTAAATAAGCAGCTAATTCTTGAAACAAGTATTATCTCAAGGATATGGGTTGTCAATTTTAAGTTAGGTTTTAAGGTAGTTTAAGATTATAAGATTATACTTAGGTTCTCAAGATCCATAAGCAGAATAGTCTGGATGAGATAATATCAATAAGTTGAGATGCTAAAATTATCTCCTCTTTCAGTCTTATAGTTGGATAAAAGAAGGAAAGAAAAAAACGAATCATTTTTTTTTCCTTTGAAAATATAAAGACATAATACTTTGCAAATAATATTGGTGGTGTTGAAGATTTTGATGGAAATCTTTTGTAAATGAGAGATAGTCAAAAATAATTCTTTTATAAACTTGCATACAACTAGGACTGAGTCCAGTGGTTCAATTCCTATTTATATGAAAAAATTAATAGTGAAGCTAATATCTGGAGTAATTCTAATATAGTCTAATAGTCTAGTATCAATTAATGTTATAATGTAGTTTATATATAGAAATATGTATAGGTATATACAAATATTAATCTCTTAATAAAAGACTACTAGCCAGGATCGTAACTAGGGCTTAAAAAAAATAAATAAATAAAGATATAATTTTTATATTATTTGTCAATTACAGTATTTAAACTTATTTTAAGAAAATTAAATCTGTTCAAATCAAATATGTAATTAAGCTCTATATAATATTTCAATATATGATTTTTTGTAAGGAATACTTGGTTTACACAGTATGGTATGGTTTATATAGCAAGAAAATGTTTGTTTAAAATTAAGTTAAATAATTAAATAATTTTTATAATACAAAAAATATTATATTATTATAATACAACAATTACAACATCAATAAAATCAAGAACGACAGTAATAACAACAATAATAATAATTGTAATAGTAATTTAAATGCTTTTTACAAAATAATTAGCTTTACTAGTATAGGCGATATAGTTATGATTAATATCACACGTTAAATTAATACATGAAAAAAAAAATACTCGTTATATGATTCGTCAAAAAGGATAATTATTATTTAAATAACACGTAGTTTAAATTTTTAGGACTATAATCGTAAGGTCCAAAAAATTACTGATGTGTGATAACACGATGTCCACCACATGCGTACATCGGATTACGCACGCACAAACAGCCTTTGGTCGGTCTAGACAAATTATAACTTTATTCTAGAGACCGTGTCACATTCTCTAAGAACTTATTGTTGTTTAATGATTAAATTGAGTAGTTTACTATCTATAATATATAAGCAGGTCAATTTAATACATTATAAATCAATAAGAAAAAGTAATAATAAATATTATTTACCGTAGCAATGCGATTTAGTGTAAGGAATAAATTTACTTGTATAAATTGTTTTTATGTAACTGACACCGTCATCTGGCGCAATGCAATCAGTTAATTCAGCTAAAATTTTTGCATCATTTTGCCATTCTATAAAAGTTCTGCCAATTTCTTCAGCAAGTGGACGATTATTTGGATTTCCATTCCAACATCTTTTCATAAGATCCATATAACTCTGCGGTGTACTTTCAATAATAGTTGGTCGAAAACCATTGCATACTTGAATTTGAAATTGAACTCGAGATTCATGATTAAAAGGAACAGCTTTTCCAGAAGAAATTTCCCACATAATTATGCCAAATGAGTAAATATCTGATGCTAAGGTATATTGTGAGCCACAAAGAACTTCGGGTGCAATGTACGGTAAAATCCCATAAATTCCCTCAGATTCTGTATCAGTTGATATTGAAAGACCTAAATCAGCAATATATGCACTATATAAATTGGATAGTAGTATATTACCACTATGTAAATCTCGGTGAATAAGATTTTGTGAATGAATTATTTCAAGATCGGAAGCAATACTAATTAGCAATTTTAACTTATCTTTCCACGATGTTTGTGCCACTAAATGAAGTTTACTACGCAGAGAACCCATTGCTGCATATTGAGTAACAAGAATAAAATCTTTAGAGATTTCGTCTCTAGATATTCCATAACATTTTAAAAATGTGGCGTTTTTATAGCCAATATCGCAATATGCTTTTAACTTTAATGTAAGAAAAAGGTTAGGAAAAATTAAAATAGTATAACGTCTGATATTTGAATAAGAATACCTCTTTTATAAAGTCCTTGTGATTATTTCTTGATCCGTGAAGTAATTTAAGCGCAACACCTCTATCACCCCAATGGGCATAAAATACCGTTGCAAATCCTCCTTGCCCTACCTTCTCAATGTTTTTAAATTCACTATAAGAAATCCAACGTAACGAATATTTACTTTCAGAAAGAATTTTTTTAACTTCATTGTCAACATCAGAGATTTTAAATGCTGGGTCATTCGAAACTAAATGAATAGAAAGTTAGACTATGAATAAATAAGATGGTGTAATGTCATAATATTTACCTAATGATCGATTTCCTTCCCTAATTGTTTACACATCATTGTTAGCTTATGGTAACTATAATAATACTGTAGATTAAATAATTTACTTACATCTGATACCAATGCGTAGCCATTTGTAAGTTCCTCGTGACTCCTATTCCATTTCTATATAATCCAGCAACCAGATACATTCCAAGTACATACCCCATCTCGGCTGATTTTTGATAATATTCGAATGCCTTGTGTTCATCCTTCTCAACTCCAATTCCTTCATTATAACAATGGCCAACATTAAATGTCCCTGATGCACTACCCATCTCTGCTGATTTTCGATAATATTCAAATGCCTTGTATTCATCCTTTTCAACTCCAATCCCATTTTGATAACAATAGCCAAAATTATTTGTTCCCGCAGCATAACCCATCTCAGCTGATTTTTGATAATATTCGAATGTCTTGTGTTCATCCTTTTCAATTCCAATTCCATGCTGATAACAATAGCCAACTTTAAATGCCCCTAATGCATCACCCATCTCTGCTGATTTCTGATAATATTTGAATGCCTTATGTTCATCCTTTCCAACTCCAATTCCATTCTGATAACAATAGCCAACGTTAAATGTCCCCAAAGAATAACCCATCTCAGCTGATTTTTGATAATATTCGAATGCTTTGTGTTCATCCTTTTGAATTCCAGTTCCATTTTGATAACAAACACCAACCAGAAGTATGCCATCAGAGTTTCCCATCTCTGCCGATTTTTGATAATATTCGAATGCCTTGTGTTCATCCTTTTCAACTCCAATCCCATTTTGATAACAATAGCCAACATTATTTGTTCCCAAAGCATGACCCATCTCGGCTGATTTCTGATAATATTCGAATGCCTTGTGTTCATCCTTTTCAACTCCAATTCCGTCATCATAACAATATCCAACAATGTATGTTCCCGATGCATCACCCATCTCGGCTAATCTTTGATAAATTTTGAATGCCTTATGTTCATCTTTTTTAACTCCAATCCCATGCTGATAACAATTGCTAACATTAAATGTCCCTAATTCATTACCCATCTCTGCTGATTTCTGATAATATTTGAATGCCTTATGTTCATCCTTTCCAACTCCAATTCCATTCTGATAACAATAGCCAACGTTAAATGTCCCCAAAGAATAACCCATCTCAGCTGATTTTTGATAATATTCGAATGCTTTGTGTTCATCCTTTTGAATTCCAGTTCCATTTTGATAACAAACACCAACCAGAAGTATGCCATCAGAGTTTCCCATCTCTGCCGATTTTTGATAATATTCGAATGCCTTGTGTTCATCCTTTTCAACTCCAATCCCATTTTGATAACAATAGCCAACATTATTTGTTCCCAAAGCATGACCCATCTCGGCTGATTTCTGATAATATTCGAATGCCTTGTGTTCATCCTTTTCAACTCCAATTCCGTCATCATAACAATATCCAACAATGTATGTTCCCGATGCATCACCCACCTCGGCTGATTTTTGATAATATTCGAATGCTTTGTGTTCATCCTTTTCAACTCCAATTCCGTCATAATAACAATATCCAACCTGAAGTATGCTATCAGAGTTTCCCATCTCTGTCGATTTTTGAAAATATTCGAATGCTTTGTGTTCATCCTTTTCAATTCCAACTCCATTTTTATAACAATAGCTAACATTATTTGTTCCCAAAGCATGACCCATCTCGGCCGATCTTTGATAATATTCGAATGCTTTGTGTTCATCCTTTTCAACTCCAATTCCTTCATCATAACAATTGCCAACATTATACGTCCCTAATGCATCACCCATCTCTGCTGATTTTTGATAATATTCGAATGCCTTGTGTTCATCCTTTTTAACTCCAACTCCATTGCGATAACAATATCCAACCTGAAGTATGCCATCAGAGTTTCCCATCTTCGCTAATTTTTGATAATATTCGAATGCCTTGTGTTCATCCTTTTCAACTCCTAATGCATTACCCATCTCGGCAGATTTATTATGGTACTGGTTCGATTCGGATAAAGTTTAGTAAGCGTAAAATTATATCAATCAATATTTGTTAACTCGATATCGTCAATTTTTTATTGTTGTACTGTGAGTATATTTACAGCAATTTATATACTGTTGCGGGGGAAGAGCAATCGACGCTAGTGGCTTAAAATGGTGTCCCGACGATCGCACATTAAGGGGGTTTCCAAAAGGGTTACTTTCGTTACTTTCGGTTATTTCTTTTATTTCTTTTATCTGTGTAGCTAGTGATTATAGCATGCTATTGTTGGCGGGTGCTAGCAGATACTAACCTATTATAGTAAGTTAGCATTGCAAAATTAAGAAAGTTATAAGTATTAGTTTGCTTAACTATTTCAGTATATTATTGTTAGTGGGTACTAGTAAATGTTCTAAATTATAGTAAATTAGGCGTTGCAACTTACTTAATATATTTTTAAATAGCTTTTCGAAATTAAATGTCTTAATCATATTAATATATTAATATATTACCTTTTATTATTATTATTAAAATTAGAAAAGTTACAGCGTTAGTTTTTTATAGTATACTAAATATTTCCTAGTTTGATTTTTATTAAGTTCTTAATTTAATTTTAAATACAAATTTAATTATATTACAAAATGTTCTTAAATTTCGTTTCGTTTAAGATTAAAATCTTTTTTAATGTCAGAGTTTATCGAATATGACGGAAAATCCAATCAATGGATCAAGCATACCAATATCAACAGTACTAGAATTATTCCCGAACAAATAATTATTGATGAAAAGGATACATCGTTTTTATCAAGTTCGGAAAATCAATCATCAACATCTATTGAAAATTCGATTTTTAAAAAATCTAATATTCAAACAGATAATTGGGTTTGGAA